CATCATACATTCTAGGTTTCCAGTGAATACATGCATAGAAATCATGGGAATGCGAGCCTGTGATTCATACTTTGCAATGATCAAGATAAAATAGTACTTAATAGTTGGGATAACAGAGAGTGTTTGTGGAACTGAAGTCAAAGTATCAGGCACGTGAGTCACATGAGACTGAGTTTAGCCAGAGAAGCTATGTCATGCATATATTAATATTAGTCAGAGAATCCCAAACTTTAGTCAGTGGATGTACTCATTGACATACAGACATTTTTTGATTTGATTTTTTAAAAAATTTATGTGTATATTATTTGTCCAAAGTAATGAATTTCACTATGTAATTTTCATACAGGTGTATAATGTAATTTGATCACTTTTATTTTCTTTTACTATCCTCTTTTGTCTCCTTTCATTTCTCATTGTTCCTCTCCCCTTTCCCAAATAAATATTAAAGGTTAAATAATACTCCATATACTTATGACACATTTTGCTTTATTTATCTGTTGAAGGACATCCTGGTAGAATCTATAACTTTGAAAATGTGAACAGTCCACAGACATGCAGGCATCTCTGTTGTATATTAGTTTAGGTTCCTTCAGTTGAGTACCCAGGGATTGTACAGCTGAATCACATATAAGCTCAAATTTCCAGGTTTTTCCACTAATGTCCATATTAATTTCTATAGGATCAGGACTAATTTACATTCCCATAAGAATGTATAAGGATTCTTCCTCTTATATCCTTGCCACTATTTGCTGCTTTCATTTTCTTGATGACATCCTTCTTTCTTTTATATTAAGATGAACCTTAAAGAAAGTAGATTGAGCTGAAGTTCTAAGAAAAACGTTCCCTTGGAGAACACCATATCTACCTTGTTAAAACCATTGCTTTAGGAAAAATTCATGAAATGATCTCTTTGTCCATCATCAAACGAAATATTTATAATTAAGTTAAAGAAAAGAATACTAGATCAGGGAACTCCAAAGATCAGTTGTCAAACTGAACAAACCATTAAGCTAGAAATATTGACGAAATCATGAATTTTTCAGATGGAGTAGGTCTATTATGTAACCCTGGCTGTCTGTAACTTGCTATGTAGACCAGGCTGGCCTCCAACTGTCAATATCTACCTTCCTCTGCTCCCTGAGGGCTGAAATTAAAGGCCTAAGCTTCTATGTTTGACTCCAAATCAACTTTCTAAACTCTAGAATCTAATCTAAAAAAAAGTCTAGAAAGAAGCCAATGAAGAAAAAGCAGCTAAATTTTGTCACGAAAATATTAGTTCTGGGTTTCTTACCTCATCATTTCTCAGTAAAGTTACCTGGAGTTATTATTTTCACTTTTTAATGCTGCTTTAAGGAATAATTTTTTTTTATTTTCACTTATTGATTATTAAAAATGTATATGTACAAGTAATATTATACAGACTGAATAGGTTGGTTACACCTCCCCCACACATCCTAATAATCTTTCATAGGAAAAATGCAAATCAGTGTATCAGTGTATTTAGCAAACATTCTTTGCCCCACATCCTTCAAAGTCAATGCAAAGTCAATACTTTTAATAAATATTAAACCATAGAAATATTGGAAAACAACATAAGATATTATGAGTATGCCAGGAATTTGAGAACCACCTGGGGCATAGAAAAAATATTAGTTTTCACTGTTAGAGAAATCTATATAACAGGAAACAGATAGATAGAGCTCATTCCAAGGAAGCTTTAGGTGAGTTTAAAGTTTTGCACTAGTAAATCAACATAAGTATGCTTCATGGTCAGGGTTTGCGAACCATAGTAATTATTTTTTAAAAGGTGTATTTAATTTATGTATATGAGTGCTCTACCTGCATGTATGACTTTATGCCAGAAGAGGGCATCAGATCCCACTACATGGTTGTGAGCTATATCGTGGTTCCTGGAAATTGAACTCAGGATGAGCAGCTGGTGCTCTTAACTGCTGAGTCATCTCTTTAGTTCCCAGTAGTTCTTATAGCAACTTTTGGAATTTGAGCCAAAAAAGCATCAAGTACCAATACTGCAATGATAAAGGGTGGAACAAATAACGGAGATATAGCACAAATGCACTGATTCACACAGAGTCGTATTTAACATGAATAGACCTTTGGAGATACAGCAGAGATAAGAAACATGGTTTCGTTGGAGAGCTCATTTCAATTAATGCTTAGATGGTAGGAAAATGATTTTTCAGAGTTACTTGTGTTTTTTTTTCTTAGCTTTTGCTTGTCGCTCCAATGATAAGTTCTTTGAAAATAAACATCCTTTTAAAATGTTATTCCCAAAGTTGTTTTGATTTGCATTTCCCTGATTGCTAAGGAGGTAGCGCATGATCTTAGGTGTCTTTTGGCCATTTGAACTTCTTCTGTTGAGAATTCTCTGTTCAGTTCAGTGCCCCATTTTTTAATTGGGTTAATTAGCATTTAAAGGCTAGTTTCTTCAGATCTTTATATGTTTTGGAGATCAGACCTTTGTCTGTTGCAGGGTTGGTGACGATCTTCTCCCAGTCAGTAGGTTGCCTTTTTGTCTTAGTGACAGTGTCCTTTGCTTTACAGAAGCTTCTCAGTTTCAGGAGGTCCCATTTATTCAATGTTTCCCTTAATGTCTGTGCTGCTGGGGTTATACATAGGAAGCGATCTCCTGTGCCCATCTGTTGTAGTGTACTTCCCACTTTCTCTTCTATCAGGTTCAGTGTGTTCAGATTGATATTGAGGTCTTTGATCCATTTGGACTTGAGTTTTGTGCATGGTGATAGATATGGGTCTATTTTCATTCTTCTACAGGTTGACATCCAATTGTGCCAGCACCATTTGTTGAAGATGCTTTCTTTCTTCCATTGTATGCTTTTAGCTCCTTTATCAAAAATGAGGTGTTCATAGGTTTGTGGGTTAAAATTCGGGTCTTCCATACGATTCTATTGGTCGACTTCTCTGTTTTTATGCCACTACCACACTGTTTTCATTACTGTAGCTCTGTAATAGAGTTTGAAGTCAGGGATGGTAATGCCTCCAGAAGTTCCTTTATTGTAAAAGATTGTTTTGGCTATCCTGGGTTTTTTGTTTTTCAATCAAAAATCCTCTCAAGATCTGTGAAGAATTTTGATGGGATTTTGATGGGGATTGCATTGAATCTATAAATTGCCTTTGGTAGAATTGCCATTTTTACTATGTTGATGCTCCCAATCCAAGAGCAAGGGAGATCCTTCCCTTTTTTGGTATCCTCTTCAATTTCTTTCTTCAATGCCTTAAAGTTCTTGTCAAATAGAGCTTTCACTTCCTTTAGGGAAATGCAAATCAAAACAACTTTGAGATATCATCTTACACTTGTCAGAATGGCTAAAATCAAAAACACCAATGATAGCCTTTGCTGGAGAGGTTGTGGAGGAATGGGTACCCTCATCCATTGCTGGTGGGAATGCAAACTTGAGCAACCATTTTGGAAAGCAGTGTAGTGGTTTCTCAGGAAATTCGGGATCAATCTACCTCTGGACCCAGCAATACCACTCTTGGGAATATACCTAAGAGATACCGTATCATATGACAAAAGCATTTGTTCAACTATGTTCATAGCAGCATTATTTGTTATAGCCAGAACCTGGAAACAACCTAGATGTCCTTCAATAGATGAATGGATGAGGAAAGTGTGGAATATATACACATTAGAGTACTACTCAGCAGTAAAAAACAATGACTTCTCGAATTTTGCATGCAAATGGATGGAAATAGAAAACACTGTCCTGAGTGAGGTATCCCAGGCCCAAAAAGAGGAACATGGGATGTACTCACTCATAATTGGTTTCTAGCCACAAATAATGGTCATTGAGTCTATAATCTGTGATCCTAAAGAAGCTAAATAAGAAGGTGAACCCAAAGAAAAACATATAGTTGTTATCCTGGGTATGGGAAGTAGACAAGATTGCCGGGCAAAAAATTGGGAACTTGGGGGTGGGGTGGGACGGGGGTAAGGGGAGATGGGGAGAGAAAAGTAAGAAGGGGAGAATGGGGGGAACTTGGGGAAACGGGATGATTGGGAGAAAGGAAGGTTGGATAGAGGAGCAGGGAATCACATAACTTAATTAAGGGAGCCATCTTAGGGTTGGCAAGAGACTTGAACCTAGAGGGGCTCCCAGGTGCCCAGGGCAATGTCCCCAGTTAACTCCTTGGGTAGCTGAGAATAGGGAACCTGAAATGACCCTATCCTATAGCCATACTGATGAATATCTTGCATATCACCATAGAACCTTCATCTGGCGATGGATGGAGATAGAGACAGAGACCCACACTGGAGCACTGGACTGAGTTCCCAAAGTCCCAATGAAGAGCAGAAGGAGGGAGAACATGAGCAAGGAAGTCAGGACCACTAGGGGTGCACCCACCCACTGAGACAGTGGGGCTGATCTATTGGGAGCTCACCAAGGTCAGCTGGACTATGACTGAAAAAGCATGGGATAAAACCGGACTCTTTGAACATGGCGGACAATGAGGGCTGATGAGAAGCCCAAGACAATGGCACTGGGTTTTGATCCTACTTCATGTTCTGGCTTTGTGGGAGCCTAGCCAGTATGGATGTTCACCTTCCTAGACCTGGATGGAGCGGGGAAGACCTTGGACTTTCCACAGGGCAGGGAACCCTGACTGCTCTTTGGACTGGAGAGGGAGGGGGAGAGGAGTGGGGGGAGGAGGAGAAGAGTAGGAGAAGGGGGAGGGAAATGGGAGGCTGGTAGGAGGCGGGAATTTCTTTTTTTTTATTTCAATAAAAAAATTAAAAAAAAATGTTATTCCCATTTTGGTGGCATCAAATCAGTCACACTCAGAAAATTTAAGGGACACCTAAATTTTAAAATGATAACTGTGCCAAGTTAAGCGGAAATGGAAAGGCTGAAAACACTCAGCTAAGTTGAATACAGCAGTGGATGGGGAAATACAATAATATAAAATACACATTGCATATAATGCTTTTTCAAAAACTGAAACAGTGAATTTCTTTACCTTTAAATTTTATTTGACATACACTTTTTGACCAAGTTCTTCAAGGATTCTTTCACTTGTTTGTTTCTAAGGGAGTAAATAAAAGGATTCAGCATTGGGGCCACAGAGGTGTTGAGGACTGCTACACCCTTAGTCAAAGCCACTCCTTCTTTTGCGGAAGTTTTGACATACATGAAGATACAGCTGCCGTAGGAAATGGAGACAACAATCATGTGGGAGGAGCAGGTAGAAAAGGCCTTTTTCCTTTGCTCAGCAGAAGGGATTCTTAGGATTGTCTTAAGGATGAAGAGATAGGAGAGAATCACTAATGTTAGTGTTACCATGAGAGTGAATATTGCCAGGAAGAATGCCAAGAGCTCCAGGAAGGCTGTGTCTGTGCAGGAGATGAGCAGCATGGGAGAGGAGTCGCAGGCAAAGTGGTCAATGATGTTGGAGTCACAGAACTCCAGTTGGAGCCCCATGATCACAGGTGGGAAGATGATGAGAAATCCAGCCAGCCAAGAGCTGATTACAAGCTGGATGCAGACCCTGTTGCTCATTATTGTGGTATAATGCAAGGGCTTACAGATAGCCACATAGCGGTCATAGGACATGGCAGCCAGAAGGAAAAATTCAATCGAACCCAGGAGTATGAAGAAGAACACCTGGGCCATGCAAGAATTATAGGAGATGCTCCTATCCCCCGTCACAATGCTCACAAGGAACCGAGGAATGCACACTGTGGTAAATGAGATTTCTAAGAAAGAAAAATTCCGAAGAAAGAAGTACATGGGCGTCTTGAGGTGTGAATCTACCAGAGTGAGAGTAATTATGGTCAGATTTCCAGTGATGCTCAAAATGTAAGTGAGAAATAGAAATATAAAAACCAAGATGTTTAGTTTTGGGTCATTTGTTAATCCCAAAAGAATAAACTCCCTCACAGATGTTCTGTTTTTCATTTCTTCTTGTGTTCTGCCAGGCGGAGAGCTGTGAAAATGAATTAGAGAGTCAGAATTATATTAGTTGTGACAAGTGCTTGTTTAATCATATCATTGATGGTTTCTAAGAACCTGAAACATTAAATCATTCACCAAAGTACACTGCATTTTAAAAGTGAATTTTAATTAACACAAAACAAGTGCACGTCTGATGATTGCTTTGAATCTAGAAATATATATATATATATATATATATATATATATATATATATATGATTTTCGAGACAGGGTTTCTCTGTAGTTTTTGGTGCCTGTCCTGGAACTAGCTCTTGTAGACCAGGCTGGCCTCGAACTCACAGAGATCCGCCTGCCTCTGCCTCCCGAGTGCTGGGATTAAATGTGTGAGCCACCACCGCCCGACTAGAACTATTTAGTATTGAAGAAGTCACTTAATAGATCTAACAAGTACATCGACAGATGAAAATAATGCCTCTACATATCTTCTGTTGTACTGTATGAGCAGATATATCTGAAAACTAGATAAAATACTTAAAATGAAAAATATTATTTTATTCTCAAAACTATCTCAACAGTGAATGCATTACTTTTGTGAATTAAACATTTTAAATGTTATTTGTCAATTTTAGAAAATATTTTAAACTATTCCTGATTCTGTGAAGAGTTACTAGTTTAGCAAATGAGTCAGAGTCATCAAAACCAATATTTATATAACCCCAAACAAATAACTCAGAAATTTCCAAAGTTTAAAAACCTTTTTAGTGTTTCTTTACTGAATTGAATACTACTTTTTTTTCCTTTATAGGAAAGATTCTAACAGCCAAATAAATAACTAAGGCCGTAAAATAATTAGAAGATGGAGAAAGAATAAATGAACTACAGAGTAGAAAATAGACTTAAAATTGTATAATGCTGTGTGGTCACAGCTAAAGAGCTCAAACCCAAATGCTAAGTGTTTTTTTTTTTTAACTAACTCTTAGTGCTTTATGCCTCGCTTCTGGATGATGGTTCACGCTTCTCATTTACGTCTACTGTGATTTTCATATATAACAAACTCACACAGTGTGTAGCTGAAACTTGGAAAGATAATTGGGCTATACACAGCAGCAAGAACATACTATGGGGATGAATATAAAGAAAATCTCTAAAGTAGGAGGGATCTGATAGGTGTTATGGTCTTGGGTGTTGGTAGAAACTGCCAAAAGTCAAACTTGCCCAAGCAATGTGTTCTACAATTGGTAGTCCAATAAAATTGAAAAATCCTTGGGTTTTAATAATGAGCTGCAAAAAGCTCAGTGGGCAGGCAGCCCAGGTCAGTGCACACTATATGTTTGGCAGTCTCAAACTGAAAAAGTATTTATTTTAATTGAGTAAAAGTGTATCTGGCTGCAACTTACTATTTGCTAAAGGCTGTGGTGACAGGACAGTGAAGCTGACAACCAATTCAGAACCAGAAGTCATGGTATCTTGGATTGTAGTTCAGACTCTCAAGAACATTTAAGATGGATAGGAAGAGAAAAGTGGGGAAGGATGAGGATAGGGAAGAGAGGGGGAAGAAAGGAACAAAATGAAGAAAGAAAGAATGGGAAGAAAGAAGGCACATTGTCAAGGTATTTGACGCAATACTTACAGCAAAGAGGCAATAAAGTTGTGTGTTTTGTTTGCTCCCTAGGTGAAGCTCTTAGCTGGTAAAAGAGGAAAAGACAAGAATCATGAGTGAAAATCAAGAATCAACATGTGGAAGACAGAGAGCCATATGACCTATGAGAAGAAATTGTTGAGACAGAATATGACTTGAAATGCCTAGTTTTAGGTTTAACACTAAGTACCTGTTTTCTAAAATTCTAAGAAAGGACACAATACTTAGTATGGGAACTATGAAAACCAACAAATACCATTTTTCCACTTTGGTTTCCAGTAATTCTTGGGATAGAAAGATGGGTTGTAATTTTAAATATTTTGCCTTTTACAGCACGGACAGATAATGGTTTTTCTAAGCATTCGTTCCAGAAGCATTTTCATTTTATGTTTTCACCTTCTTAAAACAGACACAAGGGATTCTCCCAGCAAAGCAGAGTTAAAACATCCCTGGGGAGAGGTGGTGTTGATGAGTGTGCCCTGAATAATTAGGTGAACTACAGAAATTAGCTTTTGAAATATCCCATGCTAGCGATATGTAGAGTTCAAACAGTAGTGAAGAAACACCAATTTATTTTGTGTTTTTTTATTTATTTTTTAATACAGAGAACTTGCAAAGGTAATACAATCCTGTTTCATAAAAACATGTCGTGAAGCAGAAAATAGCAAGAGGAAGTACCCATTGGGACATGAGTGTGCCACGTAATGATTGTATTTGTTAATAAAAAAACATACTGGGTAATTTAGGCAAGATGTAGTTAATAGATTGGCATATAATCAGGATACAATAAAACCTGAGAAATAATATTTTTACAATTCACAAAACTAGTATTCCAAGTATTTTCTTGCTAGTTATCTAGTTCATGTTAGAAAAAAACAAGTTTACTTTTTTTCTATTATATTCCACTGATTTATTTAATCTGGTAAACAATTTGGGGTCTGCTTTATTACTGTGAGGCACTGAAGATTTAAATGTAGTATGCTTACTTATTTTTATGTATTAATTTGGTATCCTGCTACACTGAGGAAAATGTTTATCAAATGCTTAACTTTCCTGATTGAGTCTTTCCTTGGAGTATTTTATGTTAAAGATAATAATTATCTACAAATGAGGACCCTTTGATTGCTTTCTTTCCTGTTTGTATCCCCTTGATCCCCTTCAGTTATCTCCATACATAGAACAGGTGTAGAGAGAGCAGAGAATCTTGTCTTGTTCCTGATTTTTCTGGAAATGTTTTGAGATTCTTTCTGCAGAGGAAGATGTTGGCTGTGAGAGGTCTGTATTTGCCTATACTATGTTAAGATTATGTTGTATTTTTCATCTTTCTAGGACTTTTTTCAGGAAACAATGCTGGATTTTGTCAAAGGCCTTTTCTGCATCTAATGAGATAACCAGGAGTTTTCAGGGGTCTTTAAGCTGGTTTATGTGGTAGATTACCTTACTGATTTATGTAGGTTGAAAAATCCCTGAATTTCCATCAGGAGGTCAACTGGATCTGGGGGATAAACTTTTTTTTGGCGTGTTCTTGAATTCAGTTTGCAAATAATTTATTAAGAATTTTTGTACTTACTTTCCCAAGGGATATCGGTCTAAAATTTTCTTTTTATATTTTTGTATGATGTACTATCTGATACCATCAGGGTGACTGACTTAATAAAAAAAACTTAGAAAATATGCATTCAGATTCTGTTTTCATTAATAATTTTAGTCTTATAGTTATTCATTTTTCACTGAAAGTCTGGTAGACTTCTTCTCTAAAACCTTCTTTCCTGTCCCTTGGATTCTTTTCACCTGGGATATTTTGTTAGGGTTTGTGTGTCTGTCAAATTCACTGGAGCTGGAGTCATAGGTGGTTGTGAACTATCCAATAGAGGTACTGGGAAGTTAAATCCAGTGCCCTAGAAGAACAATACATTCTCTTAGCCACTGAGCCATCTTTCCAGCTTCAGAACCTCTCTAATTTACCATAAAGAAATAATAAACACATCTTATCAGTGATTGTGGATACATTTTTTAAATACTGATTAACCACAGGGTGTTATTTATTTTCTTTCCCAACTATTTTAATTGGTCTGTGATGTCTTATTTTTTTACCTTTAATAAATCTCTGAAAATGTTATTTTCTATTTCTGTTGGTCTGATTTTTGGTTTTGTGATATTAATTTTGCTAACTTTGTACTAGAGGAAGAAAATGGCACTATTATGAATATACTTTCAAATATCATTACTCTTAATTTTCCCCTAAAGTAATAAAATGACCAGGCTAGAATGGAGAAAACCTTAGTTTCTTGGATATACATTTATAATTTCAGCATGAATGATGACAATATCACATATGAGTTTAATTTAAAGAATGAGTTTCGTAAGGGTAAGATCTGGGTGAAATATAGTTGTCATCAAAAGGTTAATTCTGTAAGGAGATAATGGAGATCTGATTTGACTTCTAGCTCTTTGATGTAAGGGCAATCCTCTTTGCAGAATCTCTGAAAGCTTGCTTCACTTGCTTGTTCCTTAAGGTATAAATGAAAGGGTTCAGCAGAGGTGCAACAGAAGTAGTGAGAACCGAAACTCCTTTGTTTATGGCTATTTCATCCTTAGCTGAAGGCTTGATGTAGATGAAGATGCAACTCCCGTAGGTGATGGACACCACAATCATGTGAGATGAGCAAGTGGAAAAGGCCTTTTTTCTTTGCTGTGCAGAAGGGAATCTCAGAATTGTTCTGATGATGTATGTGTAGGATAGAACCACACAGATTAGGGTAATAATGAGTGCAAAGACAGCCACAAATATAACCAGCTGTTCGATTACCCATGTGTCTGAGCATGAGATCTTTAGAAGGGGACCAGCATCACAGCTGAAATGATCAATGGCATTGGAGTCACAGAAGTCGAGTTGGAGACCCAAACTAAGGGGTGGGACGATAATCATTAAGCCAGACACCCAGCATGAGATGACGAGCAGGGTACATACCCTGGAGTTCATGATGGTCGTATAATGAAGGGGTTTACAAATAGCCACATAGCGATCGTAGGACATAGCTGCCAAGAGAAAAAACTCCGTGGCTCCAAAGAGAATAACAAAGAATATTTGACTTGCACAAGCATTATAGGTAATGGTATTGTCTCTGCTTGATAGACTGTATAAGAATCTAGGAATACAGACTGTGGTAAAGGAAACTTCTAGGAAAGAAAAATTTCTAAGGAAAAAGTACATAGGTGTTTTAAGATGGGGATCCACCAAGGTGAGGATGATAATGGTCAGGTTTCCTGTTATACTCATCATGTACGTGAGTAATAGGAAGATAAAAAGCAGAACTTGAAGTTGTGGGTCATCTGTTAGTCCCAGAAGGATGAAGGTTGTTATCGCCGA